AGGCATCAGATTTGACACTAACTTCTTTGCGTTGGTGGTACTTATGATGCGTATTTAATAAGGTCTGAGAGAAGAACGTTTTATCTAAGAAGAATGCAAAAGGCACCTTTGTTTAAATCAATCATGTTCATAATAGATTCTAACTGACCGCAAAAGTTACAAGGGAAGGTAATCGAATTGTCGTGAGTTCGACGCACATGGTCTTCCATTTTAACTTCCTGACATCGATATTCACATTCACTGCACTGTATAATCTTTGAATGATTGTTTTTTATGTGTTGACGTATTGTTTCTCCTTTAGTTACTTTTTGATGGCAAATTTTGCAAATAGAAGCTTTTCCATCACAGGCTTTATGAGTTCGAGAATGAAGCAATAGCTTTCGACGAGTTTCAAATGACTGAAGGCAAGTTGAACAGTAGAAGGCAGAGTTCAAATCTATGAGAAGAGAAGTATTAGCTTTGTTTGAGCATAAAGTGCGTATTGAATGTTTTTTTTTTACCGATTTCATTATCATCGATCATGATTTTCTCTGTATTAACATCATCCTCTTCGAAACTCTCATGGGTTATATTGCCACCATCTATGCCAACGTCCATTAACTCCAACTCGGCTTCTATTAATGGTGCAGATTCATTTGTTATCGTTTCATTCAGAGACTCATTATCCTTTTCATTATTTTCTGAATAATCGATATTCAAGTTTCTATTCAAAGAGTCCTCTTCGATTAGTTTTATTGATAAAATAGGAGAGCTTGTATTATGGCTATGCTCAAATTTCGGGTTAAAATAAGAGCCACAATGTAAACAAAGCACCATCAACGCTAATGCAATACATAAATCTTGATATGAAAGTTCTTAATATAATCATTTCATTGCACATTACCATGGTTTTCCGTTTCTTGCGTGGTTATATTGCCATTTCCATCTTCCTCTTTTAAAGTTGTTACGACATTTTTCTGTAAAAGCAATTGATGTTTTTGGTTATCCAGGAAAGTGTTTTAAGTCTTATTACAGCTTTTATGCTTAAAAATTCAGCAACTTCTTACATCATCGCTGACTGATGACAATACTTCCTCATCTGCTACTTCGTATTCTGTTTCATATTCTTCAAAATCACCAAGAAGCACAATGCTTACATTTTCTTTGCCTTCCNTCCTCTTCTCGATCAGCTGCTGCTAATTGCGTACAAGTTCGAAAGCAATCCATATATGTAGTAAACATGCTTGATTGATGAGTCTCCAAGTGGAAGCTCTCAGGATTGCTTTGCTCGAAAGGAGTCTCCAGATCTATATAGGATAATGAAGTTTTGAGGCATACTCGACAGATCGGAACTATATCCATAAATAAACTCTAGTTAAATTTATCAGCTTTTATTTAATGCAATAATACACCAAATATAAGTAAATAAACACAAAATTTACAAAAATGTGCAAAATGTCAACACAGCGCCCTAAAGATGAGTATAAACAAATTATCGACCTTATAATCGATAGGAATTAGTTGTGTTTTTTTACAAATTATCCAGTAACTTGCCAGTAACTCT